GCCTCAGTAACACTGAGGCTCAGTAACAGTGAGTCTCCCCACAATACTGACTCCAGTGGCAACCTGGAGAGGGCAAGCTGGCCTGGGGCTTGAAGCCAGGGGACGGAGAGAGACCAAGCAGTGTTCCTCGCTCCTTTGAGGGCTTTCCTAGGGCCCCTGGCCCGTAAGTCTCCAAGAGCGTGGGGGACATTTCCTTACCAGCGTATTAGGGAGCAGCGAGCCACCTTGGAGGGCTTCCCTGGTGGCTCAGGGGTAAAGAATCTGCCTCCAGTGTGGGAGCTGGGGGAGACGTGGGTTTGATCCCTGGGTTGGGAAGATCCCCTGGAGGAGGGCATGCAACGCACTCCAGTATTCTTGCCTGGAGAATCCCCATGGACGGAGGAGCCTGGCAGGCTACAGTCCATAGCGTTGCCAAGAGTTGGGCATGGCTGAAGCCAGAGTCACCTTTGAATGTCTGAGCTGAGGGAGACTACTTTCTGTCACCCCTTATTTCACAAAACTTCCACAAAGTCGGAAGCCACCCGCGGTTCTAAGATCATGGTGATTTTGCAGTCGTAAAAGACAGAGTGGGCTCGCTGCTACAAAGAACACCTTTAACACAATATGGCTGTTCTTCCTTCACGTAGCGATTCTCCAGGGCTTAGCAGAACGCAGCCAGAGAACTCTGCTCCACACGCTCATGCCAGGACCGAGGCTCCTCCTGTCTCCAGCAAGTCAGCACAAGCTGGGAAGAGAAGGTGGGGGGTGGCTCATGGGAGGTTGAGAAGGGCCAGGCCTGGAAGTACCGTGGCCTACTCCTCTCCTCACGGACCTGAACTCAGCTCATAGCTGCCCTGAACTGCAAGGGAGGCCCAAAAGGAGAGGGGAACTCAACACTGGGAGTCCAGCCATCCCACCGCTCTCTAGAAAGAGACCTGCCTCTCTTTCTATGACTCTCTCAGGCAGGGATAATCATGAAAATGACAACGGATCATAAAAAAGAGCCAGCATGTTTGAGTGCTTCCCATATGCCAGACCCTGCACAGAGATTATTTTATTCACCCCTCATAACCACCTAAGGTCAAGGTATGGGCCTTATTTCCGTGTTAGAGGGAAGGACAGGTTAAGCGAGGTTTAATGGCTCCTCTTGGGTCACACAGCGTGTGGGTGGTCCCGCTGGGAGTTGAGCCCTGCTCTGTCTGACTCCTGGGGGTGCTCCAGGGCCTCACAGCTGCTGAGTACACCCAGGCTGAGGAGCCAAAGACAGCCAGGTTGGGTTCCAGACACAGTTGGGCCACTTCATGCTCTTGCTGACAACAGAGAGACTAGACCACTGTCCTCCTCAGAAGTCTTCTCACCCCACCTCCCAAGCAGGGATCGTGAGGCAGAGAGTATCCAAATCACCAGGCAACCGGACCGCACATCTGCTGAGCGCCATTGCTTTAAAATCAAGCATGAAATAATCTGAAAAAGAGTGGATATGTGTCTATGTATAACTCACTCACTTTGCTATACACCTGACATGAACATAACATTATAAATCAACTATACTCCAGTAAAAAAAAATTTTTTTTAAAGAAGCACTTGCTCTTTACGCTCTTATTCAGGATGACATTGCATGTTCTCCAGCATATCCTGCTGCCCTTTCCCATCAGCTTCCGCCTTCTTTATAACTCCTGCTCTCAAGCTGCCCCTTTCCTGGTAGGCAGCAAGGACCATGCCCTGAGCCCTGGTCCTTCCCCATCGTTGGAGGAAGCTGACTTCACAAGATGGGCTGGGCTGCCCCCAACTGTGGTCTGGCTGCCTCCCTTCCATTTCCTCTTGGTTCCATAGCCCCAGAGCCTGCCAGTGCCTCTGCTCCAGGTCTGAGCGCACTCACCGAGACCACAGACGCCGGGCTCAGACAGGCTGGGCTCAAAGCTGGCTCCACCGTTTACACGTTAGTTACGACACCTTGGTCAATAAGTGATCTCCCTTGGTTTCTTCGCCTGGTAACTGCTGGTAATAATACCTGCCCCACAGGACTGTGGCAAAGATTAAGTGACACGATGCAAGTCCTTGGCCCAGTGCCAGGCACACAGGAAGAAGAAAGAACTCGTAGACATGATTAGTTCTGGGATAAACACAGTCGGCTCTTTCCTCATTACTGAGTAAAACGGGGCCACCTTAGCTCAGCTTCTCACCCTTTCTCTGAGGCAGTCCCTGCACCAGACTGGCTCCCACCCCTGAGTCCCTGTAAGGGAGCCTGAGGGAGAACTTAGCTAGAGAGGCTGTTATCTGTGTGAGGGCCTGAGGGGGAGGAAGTTAGTCCAGGTCCTCTGAGCAGACACCAAGATGGGTTAAGTGTGCAGACTTCATTAAGGAAATGCCTGTGGAAGAGAAAACAGCAAGGAGGCTGGACAAGAGAGCTGTCAGGTCCGGCCCCAGAGGAGAAAGAGGTGAGTGGAGGCACCCTGATCTGACCTGCCTTGCAGTCTAAGGAAATTTCAGCCAAACCATTGACAGTCCTTGAGCCAAAGCTGGCTGACAAAGTGTGTTCCAGGAATGGGCCTGCCTGAGTGTTCCAGCCACATGCGGTCAGTGGTGGAACAGCCCAAGGAAGCATGACCTTGGTGCAAAGGTGGCCATGGATTTCAGTGTACAATAGCCAGGGCCCTAGATCAGTGACTGAAGCACAATTGGTAACAGGAGGTCATTCTCTCGGCCACCACAGATGGACACAGAGAGAAAGAGGGCGGGCAGAAGCTGGGGTGTGAATGGTGGAGGGGGCTGTGGAATGAAAGAATGCAGAGCAGGATGGGAATAAGAGGAGTGAGAATCTAGAAATTGTTGGAAAATACAAATCATAATCTCTTCCATATTTCTTTAAAGATACAATTTAGAGCCTGGGAATTCTTTTGACTATTTTTGGCCACCTGGGCTATGCTTCTCCCAGGGTGATTGCCTCTGAGACTAGTTCCAGTTCAGTCAGTCAGTTCAGTTCAGTCTCTCAGTCGTGTCCGACTCTTTGCAACCCCATGAATCGCAGCACGCCAGGCCTCCCTGTCCATCACCAACTCCCGGAGCTTACTGAAACTCATGTCCATCGAGTCGGTGATGCCATCAAATTATCCTATGAATTATGGTGCCTACGATGCCACAGATGTGGTTCTAAGTGCCTTATAACTATTGAGTGGTTTAATCCTCACAACAAACTTCTGATACGTGTGTGACTATCATGGTCATTTTAAGACATGGAGACCTGGAGGCATAGAGAGGTTGAGTAACTTGCCTGAAGTTACTCAAGGAGGTGGTGGAGGTGGGATTGGAACTCCAGAATTTGGACTCTTGCCTGATACACGAGGCTGCTACCCTCCCCTGGCTACCTCCGTGTCTCCTGTTTCCCTCGTCCCACTCCTCTCCTCTGCATTACAGCCTCAGCCCTGCACACCAGTCCTGCAGCCACTCCCCTGTCTGATCCCCAAGTCTCTTGCAAGCTCCTCCAGCACTTAGCACAGGCCAGCCAAGGTGGTCACTACATATCTGCTGATTCTGGGTTTGGATAATCTTCTCAAGCATTTGTACGCTACACTCCCAAAAGTTGCTCAGTTATTTGGGCTAATCTTTCTCAACCTTAGGGCTTCCCTGGTGATTCAGATGGTAAAGTGTCCGCCTGCAATGCAGGAGACCCAGGTTCAATCCCTGGGTCAGGAAGATCACCTGGAGAATGAAATGACAACCCACTCTAGTACTCTTGCCTGATAAATCCTGTGGACAGAGAAGCCTGGTAGACTACGGTCCCTGGGGTCGCAAAGAGTTGGACACGACTGAGCGACTTCACTTCCACTTTCACTTTTATTCAACATACCTTTCAAGTAGGGCTGAGTTTCATTCTGAGTGAGGGAGAAGAATATCCCCAAAGGAGGACACAGCGCAACCTTCAGTGTCGCCTACACCAGCATCCCACAGCCTTCTGAAGGTCTAACCACTTCTTGTTATTCCCTCATCATACCCTTTTCCAGCCTCTTAATAAAGTCTTCAGCCATCTGCCTAAAAGTAGGATTAAATGCCACCCGTGTACTTGCCTCCCTGGTTGCTGCCAGGTGGGGCCCGAGGCACCTGTGAGCGTCTGCACTTGCCAGCAGTATCCCTGAGCACAAGACGGTGCAACATGAAATCTCAGAGTAAAAACACTGTGACAGATTGAGATGCAAGTTTTATACTGTAAAATTTTAAACAGGGAAAAGTTTTAGATTTTAGAATCTTTAATAGTACTTTTCCCTGGTTTTTAACAAGGAGTCCACATTTTTATTTTGCAATGAGCCCCACAAATGATGCAACCAGTTCTGTGTTCACTGCCCAAGAAGTGTTGGGACTTCTCACTGAAACGAATCTGGCAAGCTTTGAGCTGGGAAGCAGGGTCAGGTCCCACAAAGATAGGGACCTCCAGGAATGCAGCAAAGAGGAGACATCAGTGTTCCATCTTCAGTCTTCAAGTCCCTAACTCACTAGCCTACCTTGGTGGGTTCTGACAGCACTTGGCCTCCTTCCGTATTCCCCTAGCCTTTCCTGTCCCAGCTTTCCTCTCTGCTGCTCCTCCACTGACTTTTCTGCCTTTGCCTCCTAACGAGAGTGACCCTCAGTGCTCTGTGCTTCAGTCTCTCTTCTCTTTCTTTCCCTAACTGATCACATCCCCTTCTTGGCTCTTGCCTACTCCTCTGGCAGCGATGACTTCCTAAGGCCACTCCCCACCCATCCCTTTTCATCCCAGTTCCTGTTATCCACTAACAGAAACAACCAGTTGAGCAGGTCTTCCTTGGATTCAGGTGCAAGGCATTCCCAGGGAAGACTGTTACCCATTCTCAATGTGTAAGCTACTCATGGAAGCTACTCATCTTCCTCCTCGAGTCATTCTTCCTTCTGATTTTTCTATTTTCAGCCGTGATATTCTCATTCTTACAGACATCCAAGACTGAAACCCCCTAGTAGTCTTTTTAATTTTTTTTAATTAGTGGAAATTACAATTTTGTTTTCTGCCATACAACAGTGCAGATCAGTCATAACTCTCTCTATATCTATATCTATATCTATATCTATATCTATATCTATATCTATATCTATATCTATCTATCTATCTGTCTATCTATCTATCTATCTATCTATCTATCTATCTATCTATCTATCTATAAAACTCCCCTTCCCTCCTGAGCCTCCCCACTCTCCCCCCATATCACCCTTCTAGGTCATCACGGAGCACCAGGTTGGGCTCCTTGTGTTATATCACAAGTCCCCATTAACTGTTTTACACATGATGGTGTAAACATGTCAATGCTACTTTTTCAAATCATCCCATCCTTTACTTGCCCTACTGTGTCCACAAGTCTGTTCTCTCCTGGTAGTCTTTTACTCTTATCTTTCCTTCACCCCTGACCTCCAAAAGAGCTCAAATCTTGTCATACCTCCCTAAAAATGTGTCTTGTGTTTTTTCCTCCCATGAATTCCTATTTCCAGTGGCATAATTCAGACCTTTACTAACTCCCATTGAGACAAGGGTTTCCAAATGGCCTCTCAGCCTTGAGTCTCTTTCCCCGACAATTGTTCATGTACATGGCTCTAGGAATAAGTTTATTAAAAATTGCCCTGCTGATGGAATCATTCTGCTGCTCAAGATTTTTCAGTGGTTCCCTATCTGCAAGCCTAGCACTCCTGTCTCATTTACTAGTCACAAGGACTGGTCATGTCGGGTACGATCATGTCTCTCTCCTACTAAAAGCTTCATGGCTTTCTATTGCTCAGAATAACCTTCAATATGACCTGGACACATGCAGACTAACACTCACTTTGCCTGGGTAATTCCTGTTAATTCTTCTGAGCTCAGCTTTCTTGCCATAAAGGGTTATAGTGCTTCATATTCCTCTTGTGAAACACTTACTGCTATTGTAATTTCACTGTGCAATCAAAGATTTAATTTTACCCGTTCCTACTAGAATGTAAACCTAAGAGTAAAGACTGAGTTGATCTCATTCAGACAGACTGCTCTCCTTGCCCGACATATAACTGACATTTAGTAAATATTTGTTGAGTAGATGAATAAGCTACCATTTATTGAGCACCAGGGTGATCTCGGTCAGGTATTTCATCTCATTTCATCCTCACAATACCTGCTTGGTATTATCTTCACTTCACAGAAACTGAAAATACCAAAGGTCATAGGTTTTATAGACAAGAAGCTGTTCTGCATCCTGGCTAAACTGGTCTCCACCACTCGCCAAACATACCTTGTACTTTCCCACCTTTCTGCCTTCCTGGATTTGCCTCCACCTGAGATTTCCCTTCTCCCTTTACCTGCTGAAATTATTGCCACATTTAAAGCTCCTGCCTTCAAAGTGGCTCCTGCTACCTTCTTGTCTGGCCTTGTATATGTGTAGTAGATTGGAACACGAGCCCTGGAATCAGCCAGACTTGGATTTGAGTTCTATTAATAACTACTCTCTACCTCTACTCACTGGTGACTTTGAGCAGGTTACTTGAGCTCAGTTCTCTCATCTATAATGCAGTAATGTTAAATACCTATCTCAGAAAGTTTAAATGAGATCAAGAATCTGGAGAGTTTAACACAGAGCTTGGTTTATAGAGGGGCAACAGCAGCATTAACTCTTCTTTTCATCCTCTTCTTTCTTCTTCTTCTTATCCTCTCCTCTTCCTTCTTTTCCAAAATCTGCTCTCACTATTATTCCTGTTCCATTGACTCATACTTACCTAGTTGATCTACTCACACCATCCTGGAACTCACCATTTCGCCTTACAACATCCATATCAGTGACCACTGGCAACATGTGCCATCCATCATAGAAGAACACTTGGTGTAGCCCATCTACACATTTGCCCCCTGAATGTTTGCTGGATGATAGGAGAGAGGATGTACATTTTTCACCCACATCAAATGTGTGAGTTCTCTTACACTGGAACCTGATAAAAGGCCCTCAGGGACCTGGCTCCCAGAGGTCCCAGATTCCTCAGTAGGAGAACATCTGGTGAAAGTTGAGTATAAAAGGACTTGAGTTTAGATTTCATGGTCATAGAGGCCCAGGGGTGTTGCACTATCACTCAGCTTGGCCGGGATTCTCATAACACTTCTGAGCACCTGCTCTGTGCCAAGTCTCATGTTGGACAATGTACATACATCACCATCCTTACCTGCCTCATTTTAGCTCCATCATGTGGGTGAGAAAGGTTTTTTAGAGGTAGACATTTTCCTATTGACTTCTTGTACATTAGAGAAGTCTAAAAAATTGACAACACCAGATACCCTCCACAAGAATGACGAAGGGTACATACTCCAGTCACCTGAGGCAGAGCCTGGAGGAGGATCCCTGGAGAAGGAAGAAGCTATTTCTTCTGTTTGGGCAAAAGCATGACAGTCATTAAGAGGTGAATTTAACATTCCCAGTCCCTAAGCTCTGCTCAGCTCTTTGGTCAACCCTACAAACTCAGGCAGTCCCAGCACTGAACATAGCACTTCATAATGGGCAGCAGGTGATGCAGCTAATTCAGTATGGAAGCTGAGTGCAGTTTTTGGCCACTCAAACAATTATTATAAGCAACCAATAAGAAAAAAATTAATGATAAAGAATTACTTCTACCCCCAGAACCTGCTGTGTTTGTTTTTGCATATTTCCAAGCACTTAGGATGTCTGAGAGGTGTTATTTAAGGGAATAAATAACATTTTAGACTTTTCCCAGAGTGAGGGATCAGCTTTGTATAATCCCCTGAAACTGTTCTCAGCATGGATGTCCATGTTGGGGAGCAATCTCTTGGGGAGCCTGAGGGTAGGTCCTGCTGGAGCATGGGCCCCATGGTGGGCAGATCTGGGTTCCCAGGCATCCACTTGGAAGTACTCCCAGAAGCATCACTGGCCCAAACTGGCTCTCTTGGGGCCTACTGCTGGAGCAAAGTCCACTCCCGCACAGAGGGGAACTATTTGGGATGTTTTTAGTCATTAATTGGCTTCCCTGGTGATCAGACAATAAGGAATTTGCCTGCAATGCAGGAGACCTGGGTTCGATCTCTGGGTTGGCAAGATCCTCTGGAGAAAGGAATGGCTACCCACTCCAGTAATCTTGCCTGGAGAACCCCATGGATAGAGGAGTCTGGTGGGCTACAGTCCATGGTGTTGCAAAGAGTCGGACACAACTGAGTTACTAACACTTACTTACTTAGTCATTAATACTACAGAGAGAATTCAACAACTAGCTGTTTTCCATGAGGGCAAGCTCCTGGAAGGCCCGGAAGCAATAGGAGTTTGGATTGAAACAAGAAATCTGAATGTGCACTATGGGGAAGAGGGTTGACCTGATGGGCCTAACTGGGGACTAAATTGGTAGATGGAGAAAAAGGAAGTGAGTGGCAGGAGATGGAGATCTGCTGAAATCTCATTTTCCAGACCCTATGATTTTACCCTTCAGAATCAGCTTCTTCACCGAGTGTTCTCTCCTTTCCCACCCCAGCCCAGCCCTGTCTCCCAACTTCAGTGATTTCCTGTCAGATCCCCCATACCCCTCTCCAGGGATATCCTTTCTCCTTAAAAGACATGAGAAAATTGAACAATTAAGCATAATGCTAGTTATGCTCTGCTTAGGATGGGGGCACATCCAGGTACCTTAAAGGATCCTTAGGACCCCCAGGGGTGTACTTACGAGAAATAAAGAGGTTTCTCTCCAGGAAGACTTCACTTTAAAGAAATGAGGATCAAAGGGAGATGACTTCTGAAATCAGAAGAGCAGAATGATTCTGAGTTCAGGCTTGCATCTGACCTTGGAATCCATCTCCAAGCTCTGGGGTGTGGAAAGTGAAAGTAAAAGTCGCTCAGTTATGTCTGACTCTCTGCGACCCTGTGGACTATACAGTCCACGGAATTCTCCAGGCCAGAATACTGGAGTGGGCAGCCTTTCCCTTCTCCAGGGGATCTTCCCAACCCAGGGATTGAACCCAGGTCTCTTGCATTGCAGGTGAATTCTTTACCAGCTGAGCCACCAGGGAAGCCCAGGAACATTGAAGTGGGTAGCCTATCCCTTCTCCAGCAGATCTTCCCAGCCCAGGAATCAAACTTGGGTCTCCTGCATTGCAGACGGATTCTTTACTAGCTGAGCTATCAGGGACCCTGTTGTAAAAGAAGAAGTCAGAATGATGGTTATGATCATGGTCATGCAACACAACTTCATTAGCATCTGCACTGGGCATGTAGAGGTATAGGCATGTAGAGGCAACTGGGAACAAGTTTCTATCACATGGGATGGGGGAGCTGTTGCAGCCTTGGGCCAGTGGCAGCTGCAGGAGTGGCCTTCAGCCTGAACAGACACAAATTAACTCCAGGAGCAACTCTATGAGGAAAATATCTGATCCACCACAGGGGGATGAAGAGGTCCAACTTGTATAATCCTTGTTAGGCTTCTGAGACATTCTCTATGGACTTCCAGAACCATTTTGGAGGTATGAGAATAGGGTTGGAATTCCCACAGAATGAGAAGGTAAAGAAGCAGAGAAATCCTGATTGGTGGCGGAAATCCTGAAGGTTCACAGGATGAACCTTGTCAAGCATGGCCTGACAAGTTAGGTATCTGACTTCAGAGGTAGAGTAGGCCTTATGGAATCATGGAGCTTCCTCTATCAATAGATCCAAATTCCTTGGATCTATTTGTCATTTCCACTGTATATTACTTTGTCCGCCTGATGCAAAGAGCCGACTCATTAAAAAAAGACCCTGATGCTGAGAAAGATTGAGAGCAGGAAGAGAAGAGGGTGACAGAGGATGAAAAGGTTGGATGGCATCTTTGACTCAATGAACATGAATTTGAACAAACTCTGGGAGATAGTGAAGGATAGGGGAGCCTGGTCTGCTGCAGTCTATCAGGTCACAGAGTCCAACATGGCTGAGCTACTGAAAACACAACAGTGTTTCCTCTACTCACAGCTCTATCTTTGTTAAAAGATAATTTTTCTAAGAAAGCTCTAGGCAAAGGCTCTAAAGGAAAATCAGGATATGTTTCCCCTTTACCCTAAAACTTTGCCTAGCAGCTTCCCAATCCAATGTGACACCTTCTTGGCAAGATACAGAAAAGAGTCAGCT